ATTTCACTCGTGCCTTGATTGTATACGCCAATCAGTTAGCCTCCTTCTGGTTATTTGTACCCGTTCAAAGTCTATTTTGCCTTCACTGTCCCTAAACCCCAAAGCTTTGAAAACTTCCGTGCCATTACCTTCGACCATAGGGTGAAGCCCTTTACAGAACATAAGGAAATGTTCAGCTGCTTCCTCCTCCTCTTCACACGCACTACATACCGTGTCTGTGCCTTCGTATTGGCTCGGTACGTCTTGGTCCGCAATACTTCCGTTCTGGCCTCGAACAGCAGAGAACTACCCCGAAAATTATCGTAGATTTTTTTCCTTGCAATTTCCTGCCTAAAAGTTCGGTAGGTCTCCAGTGATGAATTCGTAAGCATTTCAATCTTCCACATGTTCGTCTCTGTTTCCTTCACCTTCTTCTTAATTGATGCTTTCTTTTGGCTTGGTATTCTGCTGTTGTCTAAATACTTGCTTGACAATTTTCGAGTTCGCATCCTCCATCTAGTGTCAACATTCTTCATGTACAAGTAGCTGAAAACTTTCCTAGCCCAACGCTCTTTTCCCAATTTTATCAATCACTCCTCAAATTCTATCTTTCTGATAGCTTCCCTGCACTCAAACGATGTCCATCCCATGTCACCCTGTATACATCCTGATGTGGGGTATTCCCATGTGCTCCCAAAGCAAGTCTACCTATGCCACGTTGTTTAATTTCCAATCTTGCTTGAACCTCTGATTTCATGCACAAGACCGAATGCGGAACGTCAAACCCGGGACCATGGCACCTTTCCAAATCCCTCTAACAACATCATACCAATTGTAGTTACACAGTGCCCTATTTTTTATTACAGCTGCATTCCTGTTACCTTTATTCGTCACGTATATTTCGTGTTCCCTTAGGTACTCAGCGACGTTCTTTATCCATACGGCCAAAACTATTTATTAATTACGATTTTTCACTGCCGCTCTTCAAATTTAACTTATCTCCCTCATTACCACAGATGTCTATCAATCCCTGCAGATCTTCCCTGTTGTCAGCTATCGATACTATATCATCCGCATACATCATACTGGTAACGAGTGTTTAATGTGTTTTCCTTGATAGGCGAAAGAAAGGCCGAAGCCGAGTTGACTCCCCTGTAATTTGTTTTCTAGTCCATGGAAATACAGCATAAGTAACAAAGGTGACGAGGGGCATCCCTGTCGAAGCCCGCGTTGTATCTCTATAAGTTCAGATACCTGTTCTTCCCATTTTATAACAACCTTGTTACTTTTATAGATATCCTTTAGAAGATTGGTTATTCCATCTTTCACATATAGTGTGTCCAGTTCTCCCCACAAGTCTTCTTGAATCACACTATCGTAAGCTCCATTGATATCTAAAAAAGCCAGCCACAGGGGCCTGTCTTCTTTTTCCGCTATTTGAATGCACTGCATCAATGAAAACAGATTGTCCTCCAACCTCCTTCGTTTACGGAACTCATTTTGTAGTTCTCCCAGCACCCCCTCATTCTCCACCCATGTCTGTAGTCTTTCCTTTACTATCTGCATCACCAGCCTGTAAACTACTTATGCTACTGTTATAGGACGGTAGTTGTTTATATCAGCTTTGTATCCTTTTCCTTTGTAGATCATGCTCATCCTGCTTAGTTCCTACCAATTGAGAGCTGCACCATCCATTATTGCTTTGCCCACAGCCTCTCTTGATGTTTGCTTAAAGTTTGGTCCTAGTTTCTTTATTAACACAATTGGGATGCAGTCAGGGCCTGTTGATGTGCTATTGGGAACCCTTTTCTCTGCCTTTTCCCACTCTCGTTGTCCCAGTAGAGCCACTGCGCTAATTGCTCCATCCTCATCTGGTATGATGCAAGCCACGCTTTCTTTGGTGTTTAAAATTTTCTGTCACCATTGTTTTTATATATTCCATTGCCTCATTCCCTTCTTGTCTGGCCCCTTGAACTGTTTTTATAAATTTCTGTTCCATGCTTGTCTCATTACTCAGAGAATGGAAATGGTTGCAAAACTTTGCAGCTGTCTTTCTATCCTTTTTTGTTTACTTCCGCCATCCATTGGGCCCCCTTTCTTCTAATCTCGTCACTGATCAAATCGGACACTTCCCTTCTGCTGCTCAAAAAGTTATACCATTTTTTTTCAACGTCATCTTTCTGTTCACCTCTCTGTTTAGCATACCTGTGTTCCCTGGATTCCTCCTGACGTCTTACTACGACTTTCATAACTTCCCCATCCCATTAGATCTTGGATTTGTGTCTGCTTTTCCCGGTTTATTTTACTCGTACCTTAGCAAACTATAACTCAAACAATGGAGTTATATTTCTGTACGTACACTCTGTTCTAGTACCCTCGGTGATTATTTTCTCAATCTTTTAGTTGCTATTTCTATTTGCTTTTCTGAATAAATGTTAACATGTGGTTGCTCATAATGCCTCTTGGACCCATATTCATCTATGTTTATTACCCTTAGCCAATTATACATCCTATGTGACATTATTGCGTAATCTATCGTTGACTGCAGGCTTCCCACCTCCCATGTTATCTGCCCTTCGCATTTCTAGGTACTGTTGGAAATGATTAAACCACGTTTTTCGGACATATCCATTACTATACTGCCTTTGCGTCAGTATATCCATCCATATCTTGTATGGGCGAATTCGTATCTCCTAATATAATTACCTCGCACTCTTTTCCTAGTTCGTTAATGTGATTTCCTATGCACTGCACCATTTCTTGGTTTTCCTCTTGTGCTTTTTCTCCTGTCCACAAGCATACGAAACCCAAGAGCTTCATCTGCCTTGCCACTTTCCCTTTTAGCCATAAATGTTTCCTGCCCGTGCGAGCGGGTGTCAGCCCCTCCTGGTTCTCTCTCTCTCTCTCTTTCGGCGCATCGCGGAGCGGCCTCAGAGCTGGCGGCGCGGTCTGCCCACTTCCCTATTCTAGACACTGTATTTCAGTGGCCTGTAAAAGTACATCTTCTCGCTCGAAGATCGCACTGTATCGTAGCCATACCTGCAACACCAGGGGCGTAGCCAGGGGGTAGTACCCCGAGCCTTTGCTTCCCCCCACCCCCGAAAAGCATTTTCACCCTAGCATAAAGAGCGAAAAATGACCTCGTAGTACGTAACCACCAGTGGCATATACCCGAAATAGCGGTCCTTACGATTTTGACCTCCAAGGTGGTTCCGGTGAGAGATTTCTTCTGTGCGTTGTTGAACAATAAAAGATAGTGCTCAATGCACATGTTAATGGCTGCTAAGGGGGAATGAGAGACAGGAGCATTCAGCCTTTAGGTAACGCGCACGCTGCGATCCCCATTAGCAGCTATTGGCATGTACAATGTGCACGATCTGACAAGAAAGGGTTGCTACGTTATACTCGCTGGGTGTAACCTCTTTGGTTTTAGAAAGGTTTAGTGAGCGTTGGGCCGCATAGCCATGAATACAGTGAACTAGTATATACCATGAACTCGAGGTGGTTAAAGGTGGGAAGTAAACCCGAAGCGCAAGTCGTAAGAAAGTGTGCATGTGCCACCTCCCGTTTAGTCCTTGAAATGTCCGCTGGATGGCGGTGCTTCTATATGGAGAATATGATGAAAAGATGCGAGATGGTGGTACTTGGAGTGCTGAATAGATGGACGAACGCACACACAGACAGATGCATGGATGGACGCATGAACGGACACAGGCGCGGATGCATGGACGAACAGACGCACGCACGGATGGGTGGATGGACGAATGCTTTGCCCCACTCTCCATCATTCATTCTGTGGATATGCTGCCATTTTTTTTTCTGGAGGAGCTGCGTTAGAGTGCCTCCATGCATGCAGCGAAGGGTAGCCAAGGCAAATGAGCTCATCAAGGTACGTTACAGGCGAGACATGAGCGCTATCTGGCAGTTATCTGGGAAAATGGAGCGCGCGGCGTGCATGCCCGTCTCAGAGGCGATAAGGTGTAGAACTCAAGGCGATGGGCAGGTGCCACCACCGTCTCAGCAAAGTGTTGGAAACACTTGTCTTTTCGTGCATAGCGTTGCATTGTCAACGCAGCGTGATAAACGCTACAGTCCTTAGAAATACTTATGTATGCCTTTTCTAGTATAAACATACAAAATATTGATGTATTGTTATTGTGCCTCAGATATGTGCAATAATTGCTTTTTAATTGACAATCGAACAAGTGTGAACCCCGAAGCTTGAGCAATATTAGTGGGCACTGCGAATAGGGTTGAATTTTGGCCGTTTCAGGTATCGTTTCGGCGTATTAACAGACAAGTTCACTGACAGACAGAAATACCAAAATGTTTGCGTCTAAGGTCCCCAAGGGAGACAGTAGTCTTTAAAAAAGCGCGCGCTTCGGCGCCTCTTCCCGTTGCCTTTACCAGCGCTGCTCGCACCACTCGACCTCGGGCCGCGGACGTAACAGAAAGGGGTCGGGCGCTGCGGTGGAGTTTGACAACTGGAAGTACCTAGTAACGTTGCTCTTACTTTCATCAACCAACATTTACATTTGTTGTTTCAACTTTTCACGTTGGTCAAAGATGTCGTTGTTTAACTGAAGGGCAGAAGTGAAATGGTTTGTTTAAATGATAAATCGCCTTGTCAGCCACAAAATACACATCTCATTCGGTTACCTTTTTTTTACCCCTTACCACGTATAGAGCGGCTAAGAACGGAGACACACACTTTTGGTAAAACGGTGCGGAGTGGAATGCCGGCGGTGGTGGCCGCATTTTGATGTGTACGAAATGCCAGTGGCCTTTGTGCTTATACTATGGCGCGCGTTGAAAGAAAAACAAAAAAAAAACACCAGCTGGTCCGGAGCCCTCGACTACGGCGTCTCTCGAAATCATAACGTCGTTTCGGGACGGGCAGACCACAGTTATTGTTCCTTTACACAGTATTGCGAATATGTACTTGTTACACTCAGCTGACTCAGCCAAACACGCTCATCTACGCAGATTTAATTTGTGCCACGCACTTGAAGAGCACTCACATTGTGAAGCAGGTTGTCGTTGCTGCAGTACATGGCTCTTGTGGCAGGTGTTCGCGCAGCTAGAGTAGCACAGCTGTTTGCGCACCTGCTGCTTTCGCTGCTCGACGAGAGGCGGCGCTACTCCTGCACGAAGCTGGGGCCACCCTAGCCACATGTTAGATGTCACCGCGCTTTTTGAACGTGGGCGCCGCCGTATTGCTTAGCCGGTGGCGCCGTTCCTGGTCTGGCAACCCTTTGGAGCGTGTGAAGCTCCGCGTTTCTATGGAAGGTATTCGTACGGATGCAGTTGCAGTCGGTGCCTTCTTTTTAGGGACAAAGCTCCTTGTAGCGGCACCCGTTCGTCCCCCGTAGTATGTAACAAGTATAACATTTTGACCTCCAAGGTGGTGCCGGGGAGAGACTTCTGTGCGTTGTTGAACAATAAAAAATAGTGCTCAATGTACATGTCAATGGCTGCTAATGGGGAATGAGAGACAGGAGCATTCGGCTTTTAGTCAACGCGCAGGCTGCGATCACCATTAGCAGCCATTGGCATGTACACTGAGCACTATCTGACAAGAAAGGGTTGCTACGTTATACTCGCTGGGTGAAACCTCCTTAGCTTTAGAAAAGTTTAGCGAGCGTTGGGCCACAGTGCCATGAATACAATGAACTTGTATATACCATGAATGAACTCGAGGTGGTTAAAAAGGCGAAGTAGATATGAAGCGCAAGCCGTAAGAAAGTAAAAGCCGAATTCTCCGCCTCTCATTTCCCATTAGCAGCCATTGGCATGTACATTGAGCACTATCTGACTGAAAAAGTTTGCTACGTCATACTCGCTGGGCGTAACCTCCTTGGTTTTCGAAAGGTTTAGCGAGCGTTTGGCCGCAGTGCCATGAATGCCGTGAACTAGTATATACCATGAACTCGAGGTGGTTAAAGGTGGGAAGTGGACCCGAAGCGCAAGCTGTAAGAAAGTGTGCGTGTGCCACCTCTCGTTTAGTCCTTGGAATGTCAGCTGGATGGCGGTGCTTCTATATGGGGAATATATGATGAAAACATGCGAGATGGTGGTACTTGGAGTGTTGAATAGATGGACGAACGGACACGTAGACAGATGCATGGATGGACGCATGAATGGACGCAGGGGCGGCTGCATGGACGAACGCAGGGATGGACGCACGAACAGACGCACGCACGGACGGGCTGATGAACGCATGGGCGGTCACACTGACGGACGCATGGATGGACGGAAGCAAGAACGAATGGACGGAGGAATTCTTCGCCCCACTCTCCATCATTCACTCCGTGGATATGCTGCCATTTTTTTTTTCGTTCTGGCGTGCTGAATTCTGTCTGAAATGGTGCAGTATTGGTATAAAATGAGTGTGTGACGTCCTGAAATGTTTTGATCGGTTCGAGGTCAAATATGGTATTTGTCACGGCGCCAACGTGTTGCAAGTGGTTGGTGTCGTATGTTTTCAACTCTCTTTCTGTTGAAAAACCGTAAGGAGGTTTGGACCCGTTCAATTTCGCAATCAATTGCTGGTACCCTTTGAAAATACAATTAATTTTTTGAGGTTGTAGTATTTGTTTTCCCCTCGCGGTTTGTTAACTGGTTGCAGTGACTACCGCCCGTACATGCAATCGTGCGGGAGCGTGATGTTGCGATTTCTTGGCGATGATCCATGGCATTTGCTTGTTGCTCACAAACTGTTTAGCTTCTGCTCTATCTTTAATGCGAGTAATGAACCCTCGTTACTCGCTCGTGTGTTGCCCACCGGTGTGGACGAAAGCAGAACTGGTGGTGCTGGTACACTAAAAGCAATGATGAAGCTTACATGCCAACGCGCTTCTTTTTTTTTTTCTTTTTAGAGTCCTGACGTTTGATTGGATTGCAGTGGCGGTAAAGCGAAGGCAATGTTTCTCCTGCCGATGAGGTACCAAGCGCACACGACGGGCTCGAGCCTATATGATCAGCATAAGAGTGATCTCATGTTTATTTTTTAAAATAATTTTGTCTAGTAGTTGTACGGCTTTTTCGAAATCGTTGTCGTTCGCAAAGCTAAGCAGCGAAATTGACTGATGTAGAAACAACAGACAACAGCGACAACGTGGTTTAATTTTGCTAAATGACTCACGCTGGTTACCCCGATGTGAAGTGAGCGCTTTCTTGTCAGTGTTAATACAGCCACATCAACTACATTGATCACCATTTTGAGCCGATCTACGAGGCTAACTGTGTCGACCAAACCCAGACAACAGAAACCCATCTTCAGTGCGTTTTCAAAGCATTTTCATGAGGACGTTTGAACGTACCGAGAACATGCTCACTAGCCTGGCTGGAGTCCAAGAAAGGTCCCATTTTCCAGCCTCAGCACGTTTTTTGAAGATCCGCAAATGGTTCACCAGGGCACTCCTGGCACTATTTCATGTTTTATAGGGGACTGAAACATACTCAATTGGTCCACCAGGATATTTTGCATACCAACTGTGCTACTCAATAAGACATTTCTGGGACTAACTTTGCGTACCGAGTAGGCTACACATCAGGACATCTCTGAGACATTTTGTGTACAGATTACACTGCCCTCCAGGATTTGTTGAATGCGGAATTGCTGTATTTCAGATTTTATTTTTATGTGAAGATATCGCTAGAGCACGGTTGTTTATTAGTAGTATAGAAACACGTTAATGTCAATACAGACAATGCACATGCACGGTAACTAGTGGTGCCGCACGCAGAATCAAGCACAAAAACAACCAGTTTCGAGAAATACTTTATTCTGATGCGTCGGCCCGCAAAGCCAAGAATAAAATTCTTCAAATAATGAGTGGGACTAGGTACTAAGTAGTCTTAATTCGTTGGAATAATCAGAGTTTACTTCCAGTGATCCCAAAAGAAAGTGAAATTGCTTTCGCCAGGACAGTAGTTAGAAGAATGTACATGTTTCCCAAGCACAGCACGGAGCTACTCTAATGACCAGTGTGGCCGGTGTATATAAAAGTCAGGAAACAATCTCTTCCTGCAGTATATGCGCCCCCAGCTGCGCAACTTGTGCAGATATAAAGGCTCATCGTATATAGGGAAAATGTTTTGGCAGATGCATCAGAAACTATGCCGTGCAGCTTCACAGAAACTGACACACCATTAACAAAAAAATTCTCAGAAAGAAGTCACTTAGTTCCTTCAGCGAAGCTCTATAAAAGCGCAGTTGTATTTTGTAATTCAGTTCTGCGCAAAAAAAAAAAACACAACAGAATATTTTTTCCTTTTCCAAATTGCAGATGCCACCAAAGATTGCCCTCGGACTCTCGGCAAAACGTCAATGTTCAACCATTGGATGAGCTTGCTAGGCAAGCATGCACATTCCAACAGTTTGCCGCCACCTGGCCGCTAGGCCAAAATGGCGGAACTTAGCTCTTGCCAGCTCTCTATTGTCAAGGGGCATACCTAAAGTTTGCAAGAGTATATTCTAGCAGATGACGGGAGTGACAAGAAATAAGAGTGGCTCCTAAAAACTGACCACAGCGACGTGACCGTGGCATGCAATCCCCACGATTCTACCGCTTACGCTTGTAATGTTTGTCGGAAATTAGGCACACTGATTTTGCCATTGTGAGACACGATGCCTCAAATTAGACGGTCATGATGTACACATCACTGCTTAGTCGGCGCCGATCATGCTGCCACGAAAAGGCTGGTAGCGGCAAGTTTACATCGTCACCGTGTGAGCCACCACTGATCGGACCACTTACTGTATACATATGCAACACGCTGATATAACACGTGTGTATTATCATTAACAAGGCCGGCAGACTAAGCTCGGGGCCATCTGTTCATTGTGGAGAATCGCTTAACGTTGATGTTTACGGCGAAACCAGTGGAATTGGTTCCGGGCATTGAGCATACTACATTTCCGGGAGCTTGGTGTTTACGCTCACAAGCTGATCATGCGCATCGACACGCTCGCAGCGAAATAGCCATTCGTTGCTTTCTGCCATAACGACAACTTCAAGAAACTGCATGGAACTCACCAATGTCCATGTCTGGATGCGCCTTCACTCGTGCAGCCATGGAAGTGTAGAAAGGAAGCCGAAGACACAGCCACTAGAAGGCCACAATTTTTTTTAGCAAACCGCGTGAGTCACAGTATTTACAGCGGTCAGAAATTTACCTGTTGACGAGTTTTAATCTGCGAGGGTTACTGTCCTCCGAACTAGGTCGTTTTAAACAAGCGGAAGAACTTAAGCATTGCATAGGAAAGTCATATGTGTTGATTCAAAATAAGGTAAAACGTGTGCGATCGGCCCTCACAATTTTGTGGTGTTTCACTAGATGTATTTTTTGTAGTAAATCTGCAATCAAAAGTTGTTCATTGCACAAATGCTGTACTTTCCATTGATTAACAGCCGCGCTGGTTCCTGTACTAAACACGTCCTCATAAGAATATTTTAAGGATAATCCTGCAAACAGTGTTCTGCGAACATTTTCAGGATGCTGCAGCCAAGCGGGCGAGAATCATATGTTTTTTGCTTTTTTCTGCTTTAAACATTGTATCCAGGTTGATGTCCTTTGTCGCTGTGTAACCGCTTGCGCAAGTATGTAGGTATGCCACACAATTGGTCCCTCTACTAGCCAGTTAGGCTATGGGACCAAACAAGTGTTTGCGAAGTTTTTTGTTACATGGATGTGAAAGTTACAATAAAAAAAAGAACGTTTTTGCCTTTTGAGGACAAGCTGTCGGCTGTTGTCTGGAAACCCATCATACTTAAATATAATAATAAAACGAAGCGAAAACAACACAGGTGGCTACACGAGTGGTGCTTAGACGTTTTTGTTACGAACAGGGCTGTCTGTACTCAACCGCTTGTGTTCGGTCGTAAACCTAACCATTCCCGATTGTCATTTGGCTGAGTGCAACACTGGGCATTCCGGATATATCGCAACACTTGCCGATATAGAGCTCGCCTCGTAACACAAACGATGTGTACCATGAAGCAACTGCAAACGCTGCGCGTTTTGTGATGCGTGCTGCGTACAATTCAGACAGCTGTTTCCCTTTTTTTTCTGT